GGGGGGGGGGGGGGGGTATTGGAGAATTAATGTAGTATCATTGATGACTTCAAATGAGTAATTGGTAAGAGTGGAGTTAAATATGCTAGTAAATGAACCTATTCGGCGATTTGAGTTGTTGGAGGCTTGTAGTCAACTTATGAGCCATAAATGGATATTGGTCAATATTTTAGATCATATTTTGATGTAATTAGGATATCTAATTGTAGATATCGACTTGTTGGTGATGTTTGAGTATTTTAATTAACATTGAAATGATAGAAGATGATTGAAAGCTTGTGAAGGTTAATAAAGCGAAAGCGAGGTAAGTTGATTAAAACTTACTCTTCTTGAGGGACTTTCTCTAAAAGCATATTTTGATTTAATACTTAAGTTGTTTGCAAATGTGCTTTCATGCTTGTGGGGACAAACAAGTACGGATGTCTCTATGTACTAAAATATTATGTTGCATATGTAGTGTCATGCTGTTTTATAAAATTTTATTTTAAATCTTGTTGGCAATATGACACTCAAGGTAAATGTTATAAGTTTTTATCAAAACTTACGTATTGAAAAGAGTATACATATTTGACTGCTAAAGATAAGTTTTCATGGAAAGTATTTCTTTTGAAAATTGATGAGCAGAATAGCACTTGCGGTATCTTTTAAAGATTGATGTTAAATTGCTAAAGGCTTTAGCATGTAAAAGGTTGTTTATTTAATATTGTTAAAATGATTTAGATTTTTTATAAATGCTATGATTTGATAAAAATAGATCCTTTGAAGCTACTATGCTATGAATCTATTTTTGAAGTATCAAATATTTTGGGAGTTACTTGTGTTCACCGAGATTGACTTCAAATATTGTGTTCGTTGTCATGAAACTACACGTGCCGATGTAGGCGTAGATGACCACTTTGTGGTATAGACTATGGCAAAGTGATCTCCCTCGAGAGAGTAATATTTTGTGCTATTATTAGCATGACTGAGTAAATTCGTACGACACTACGAGGAGACGACTTGAGCAAGTAGGGTATATGATACTTGCCGCTAGGTACATAACCTAGTTGACCTTCTTATGTCAGTGATGGTATAGTATTCCTAGTAAAAGGTTAGGATGATTTTATTATGTTTAGGCCTAAGGAGCCGAAAGTGATTTCAATGACTTAAAGCAAATGGAATGATTTTGTATGATTTTATCCAAAATCTTGGGTTGATATAAATATTTTAAAAGTTTATATTGTGCGTTATATTTCACTTGGCTTTTATTTAAAATGACAAGGATCATGAATTGATAAAATTTCTATCATTTTATATCAAATACTGGTGCATTAGTTTTATAAAGTTTGTCCCAAGAACTTAAGTTAGAGAGAGTTTATGATACTTATTGAGTACTGTCGTGGTGTACTCAACCCTTAGGCCCCCCTACAGGGTCCCGCTTACTTTACATGTTTCAGGATGAGGTATGATACGTGGCATGTGGTCAGGGTTAGGATGACTCTCTTCCTGAGGTATATGGTAAGGGACCACTTCTATTTCGTGGTAGCTATCATGTTTTCTTAATTTACGCTAGTCGGGTATTAACAAGTGTTTAATTCTATTCTTTGGTATAGAGGCTGATGTTTGACATATTTCGATATGTGTTGATGTTACTTTGCCCATGCTTTAACCACTTTTTGA